CTCTATCTCTACATTGTGTAAACAGATCAATTAACCTACATTCTATCTCTACATTGTGTAAACAGATCAATTAACCTACATTCTATCTCTACATTGTGTAAACAGATCAATTAACCTACATTCTATCTCTACATTGTGTAAACAGATCAATTAACCTACACTCTATCTCTACATTGTGTAAACAGATCAATTAACCTACATTCTATCTCTATATGGGCAATTAACCTACATTCTATCTTTACATTGTGTAAACAGATCAATTAACCTACACTCTATCTCGATCTGTTTACACAATGTAAATGTAGGTTAATTCTGTAGAGATATTGTGTAAACAGATCAATTAACCTACACTCTATCTCTACATTGTGTAAACAGATCTATTAACCTACATTCTATCTCTACATTGTGTAAACAGATCTATTAACCTACATTCTATCTCTATATGGGCAATTAACTTACATTCTATCTCTACATTGTGTAAACAGATCAATTAACCTACATTCTATCTCTACATTGTATAAACAGATCAATTAACCTACATTCTATCTCTACATTGTGTAAACAGATCAATTAACCTACATTCTATCTCTACATTGTGTAAACAGATCAATTAACCTACATTCTATCTCTACATTGTGTAAACAGATCAATTAACCTACATTCTATCTCCAGATTGTGTAAACAGATCAAATAACCTACATTCTATCTCTACATTGTGTAAACAGATCAATTAACCTACATTCTATCTGTACATTGTGTAAACAGTGTAAACATATCAATTAATCTACAGTCTATCTCTACATTGTGTAAACAGTTCAATTAACCTACATTCTATCTCTACATTGTGTAAACAGATCAATTAACCTACATTCTATCTCTACAAAGTGTAAACAGATCAATTAACCTACATTCTATCTCTACATTGTATAAACAGATCAGTTAACGTACATTCTATCTAAACAGATCTATTAACCTACATTCTATCTCTATATGGGCAATTAACCTACATTCTATCTCTACATTGTGTAAGCAGATCAATTAACCTACACTCTATCTCTACATTGTGTAAACAGATCAATTAACCTACATTCTATCTCTACATTGTGAGGTTAATAGATCTGTTTACTCTGTTTACACAATGTAGAGATAGAATGTAGGTTAACTGCTCTGTTTACACAAAGTAAAGATAGAATGTAGGTTAATTGATCTGTTTACACAATGTAGAGATAGAATGTAGGTTAATTGATCTGTTTACACAATGTAGAGATAGAATGTAGGTTAACTGATCTGCTTACACAATGTAGAGATAGAATGTAGGTTAATTGTCCATATAGAGATAGAATGTAGGTTAATAGATCTGTTTACACAATGTAGAGATAGAAAGTAATGTAGAGATAGAATGTAGGTTAATTGAAGGTTAATTGATCTGTTTACACAGATAGAATGTAGAGATAGAATGTAGGTTAATTGATCTGTTTACACAATGTAGAGATAGAATGTAGGTTAATTGCAAATATAGAGTTAACCTACATTCTATCTCTACATTGTGTAAACAGAT